GATCTGAATGTCTTTGGTGAAGTGTGTGTTCATATCCTTTGTCCATTTTTCAATTGGGTTGTTTATGTTTTTCTTGTTGTGGTTGAGCTTAAGCTCGAGGAACTGAAGAAAAATTTCAAGCCTCGAGTTGCAATAGTGAAGGATGCTTTGTGCAGATTATTGAATGATCCAGGAAGCATTAAAAGAAGATGGAAAGAGTATACAGAATCATTGTACAAAAGGAATTTGTAGACAGAAGAATTTCATGAAACAACATGAGCAAGAGCCTGTGGTGATGAACGAAGAAGTTCAAGCTACTGTGAAAGAATTGGCAAATAAACAAAAACAAAACAAAACCAAAAAATCACAAGGCCCCAGGAATTGACAGTATACCAATTGATATATTTCAACAAACATTTGCTGCCTTGGATGTGCTCACCCAGTAGTGCAAAGAAATCTGGAGGACAACCACCTGGTCAGCTAACTGGAAGACGTTTATATTTGTTTCCATTCCAAAGAAAAATGATCTGCCAGAGCATGGAAATTATCCAACAATATCATTAATATCACATGGACACAATATTCTACCAAAAAGTACCCAGAAACAACTGGAACAGCACATCAACAGAGAACTGTCAGAAGTGCAGGCTGGGTTTAGAAGAGGCCATCGTACTAAGGATACTATAGCTATAATGATAATATGGGATATCTTCAGTTAAACTCTTTCAAGAAATTGGGGGAAGGGGAACCCAACTTAGGCAAGCAGAGATGGGAGAAGAGAGTTACTAAGCCATATGGCAATCACAAGAGGCAGAAAATAATCTCAAAACGGACAAAGAATTTTTTTCTAGAGGCAATACTGAAAGTTTTCCTCTAGAATCACCTCCCTGAGTTTGACCATTTAGCTGCTTCAGTGGGATGGATTCATTTGAATTATGGTGTTAGCAAAGAATATTGAATATACTGTGGACTGTCAGACTCATGAACAAATTTTCATGAAATATGTACAGCCAGAATGTCCCTTAGAAGTGATCATGTCTCGTGCCTTAGACATGAGAGGGGCATCATGCTTAGTAAAGCAGGGAAGTATCAGTAATATTTAGTAAAGATCAGCAAGATTGAGGAAGCCCTTCCACAAGCCGGACTGACACAGTGGCCACAGCAGTGAGCTCAGATAGAAGCAGTTGTGGGTATGGCACAGGCATCAGTGTTTTGGTCTTGATGTGTGTATGAGTCAGAATCAACTTGATGGCACCTAACAACAACAAACTGTGAGGAAATAAATTTATTAAAGCCACTCAGTTTTGTGATATTTCTGTTATGGCAGTGCTAGATACTTGAGACAACATGTTTTTGTTTTTACAAGTGAGATGGGAACTTCTGGAAACATTGAAGGAAGAGGTATTTTTTATGCAATAAGTACCATACTGTAGATAAGATCTTTTGTTTGTTTTTAACCTTTGAGATAGTTTCTTTTTGTTACACTTCCCTCTCTATCAGTCCATAGATATCCAAGGAAAAATAATCTTCAGCCAGAGATTTAGAAATGAACCATTTCCTTCTGTTTTGGCTTTTTAATCCAAGAAGCCCTTGATGGTGTAAACTTAGTAAAAATTACCTTGTGTTTTAAAAAGTCTTCCGATACATATTTAGAAAATGTTCTAAATTGAGACTTTTATTGTTTTTGCCACTTCTCACTTTGGGTGCAAGGAAAAACCTTGATGCAACTGTTGTTTGGTGGTTCCTTTCACTTTAGTGAATGAATCTCTGAAGTGCCCTTTTGGCAGGAACCTTTTGTGTTCTGTATATTGTCACGCATTTCATTGTTGTGCTCATTGTTTTTGTTCTTTCTCTCACCTCTTTGGTAAAATAAATGAAAATAAGTTTAATAATTTCTAAAATTTTAATTTTTAATTACAGTTTCCGTCTACTCTAAACTTTTCAAATTACATCCATTATTGCTTAGTTTATAATTCCATTTCCCCAAATGGACCCTTTTGAACAAACTTATCTATAAAGACTCATGCTACTCACTCCCTTATTATGTTACATGTGAATCTAGTCATAGCTGACCCTCCAGTGGGTTTTTGGGAGGCTGTAAATCACACAAGAGATTGCATGTCTTTCTCCTTAGAGACGCAAGTACACTTGAACCACCAAAGAGGCACTAACTTTGGGCTAGCAGTTCAACAGCTTGTGTACAATGACTAGCTGTTTGGACTTTTAAGGAAAAAGTCATTCAGATTGTCATAAATACATTTTGAAATATGTATATTGAATAATCACGTTTGGATTGCCTTCTACAAGAGGATCCTGAGCCAAACAACTGTAAGTGCACATTATATGGCACGTACTTTTAAAAAATGTTTTACATTGTCTCATTTAAATTTCAGAGAAACTCTATGGAAATTTTAATTACCGAGAACTTGCTAACAGTGACAGCTAAAGTGATAGTAGTATCAAATCCAAGCAGCCCAGATCCAGAGCACACCCACGGGTCGATTGACTGAAAAACATTGACTCAGGACTTCAAGTTCGCACATCTTTTACTGGAAATTTGGGCCTAGGCAATGGTTGACCCTATTTTAGGGAGAGCGTCTGAGTGTATCACCTGAGAACGAACAGATTTCATGTGAGAATAATACATGCTGGACTGAATTACCGACTTCTGTCACTCTAGGGTGAACAAATGTTCGAATATTCTGGGTCCATAGACACCCAAGTGTCTAGAATATAGATTTGATTTTTGGAGAAAGAATGTGGGTGGGGGGGAATCCTTGAAAGTTCTTTAGATGTCTTGAACATACTCATAGGATTATCTCTTGTTTTGGAAATGTGCCCAGGGACATTTCTTAGCAGTAATGGTAGTGTAACTTGTAAGGACTAGAAAATGAGCACAATTTTCCAAACATGGAAGTAGAAGTGACTTGTTAGAGCTGGCTTTTGAGAATAATTACGACGTTTAAAAATCTATGTTAAGTAACCTACCTGCCTACTTAAAAGCAGTTTGGGGTCAAGACTTAATAATTATGGGCTACAATTTAATGTAAAATTGACTTTTCTAAGAGGAAGATGTATGATAATTAGAGAAAAGGCATCACTATAAACATCTGCCTCATTACTTCCTATCCCATCCTTTTTAATTTCTTTTTACTAATGACCCTCATATATGAAGTTTTATTATATTTTTCATTATAATTTTAGATATTAATTTTTAAAAATTTTATTATTTTCTTGTGTGTACTGTCAAATCAGATCTGACTGGTAGAGGAGGAGATTATCCCTCTTTCTCCAGCAGAGCATCTGGTGGATTCAAACTGCATACCTCTCAGATTGCAGTGTAGCTTCTTGACATTAGGCTACCAGAGCTCCCCTATATATTAAAATTTTAATGTATTTATAGCTAATACCTTTACTATTAGTAATCAACATATTGACATACCATTTACATACACTGAGATTCTACGTGTCACATTTGAATGTATTAATATGTCTATCTACCTATGTAAGAACCACTTCAATCAAGATACAGAATATTTCTGTCTCCCCAGAATACTCTTTAATATGCCTTTGTAATCTCCCCTATCTTGCTCCCTATCCCAAGCGACTACTAACCTGATTTTTGTCCCTAAAAGTTGCTTCTTAAGGAATTTCACTTGTCTTTGCTCTCTTACTCTGTGTAATGACTGTGAGATTCACCCGTTTTGTGTTTTTCAGTAGTTCTTTGCCTTGTACTGATGAGTAATATTTGTTTATCCATTCATGTAATGATGGATATATGAGTGGGTTTTTGCTCTTGCCAATCAAGAGTAAACACCTAGGAGAATTGTTAAATCATATAAATATATAAGGATGAAAGAAACTGCCAAACTCTTTTCCAAATTGACCATACCATCTTCAATTTCACTGTGTCTGAGATTTCCAGTTACTTAACATTCTTTCCAATACTTGGAATTTCTTTTTTTTTTAACCCCAACAGTTTAATATTAATCTAGAAAGTTCCATTGATTACCATTTATCATGACCATACTAAAGAGAGTTGTTGTTGTTGTTAGGTACCACTGAGTGAGATCCAACTCATAGCTGACCCTCCAACAGTTTCTCAGAGTCACTTTAATTGCACAAGAGGAGATTGTCCATCTTTCTCCTGTGGGGCAGTCGGGGAGCCAAATTGCATGCTGTTGGAACGGCAGTGCAACTCCTTATCACTAGGCCACCAGGACTCTCTATAGGAGACTGATTATTGTTCTTGTGTTCCATTGAGCCAGAAGTGACCCACAGCAGACACTCCAGTGGGTCTTCAGAGGCAGTTCCTTGCAAGGAGGAGGCTGCCCATCCTTCTCCCCCTAAACAGCTGGAGAATTCCAACCACATACCTTGAGAACTAAAGTATGCTGGATCTAGGCCATGGTTTTGCAACTACTTGCTATGCATTAGAGAGCTGGAAATGACTAAGGATGATAGAAAAACAATCGATGCCTTTTAATACTTGGAATTTCTAAGTGATATAATTTTATCCATTCTAGTAAATATATCTGGGCTCTGTTCTTGTTTGTTGTCAAGTCGAAACCGCACCATAGCTGATCCCTACAGTGGGTTTTCAGAGCCAGTTAATCACATGGGAGGAGATTGTCCATCCTTCTCTCAAATCTGGAGTCTCACCTGTGACTCTAAGCAACCCTATGTACAACAGCTCTGAACCCTGCTCTATCTTGAGCCATTTCATTATTTCTGACACACCTACACGCATTACCCCAGTCACTGAATCAATCTATCTCATTCTGGATCTTCCTGTCTTGTGCTTTCTCTCCACTCTACTAAGCATTATGTCCCTCTCCAAGGATTGGTCCCTCCTTACAACATGCCCGAAGTATGTCAGATGAGCTTCAGAATCCTTGCCTCCAAGAAACAGACTGGTCTCACCCTCTCCAGGACAAAAGTGTTTGTTCTCCTAGCAGTCCATGATATTCGATACTCTTCTCCAGCACCACAACTCAAAAGTTTCATCCTGTAGCGGCAATATGGCAGCGCCCGGAGCAGGAGACCCTGTAAATGCTAAGAGTGGAAAGGGCCCAGTGGCTCAGCGCATCGACCCAACTTGGGAAAAATTGACTCCCGCGCAGCTACAATTCATGCACCAGGTGTGTCTCACCCAGTGGCAGAAGACGCTGTCACAGCAGTGGACCCGGGACATCGTGACAGGCCTGGGTATCGGGGCCCTATTGCTTGTTATTTATGGCTACACCTTCTACTCAGTGTCACAGGAATGTGTCCTAGATGAACTAGAGGACGAGGCCAAAGCTGCTAGAGCCAGAGCCATGGCAAGAGCATCGAGCTCCTGAACTACATGGACCCTGGGCATTGCCAGCCTGCTGGTGCCCCTTCACATGGTGATTGATGCACTGCAGTCCTGTAGAAAGTGAAGCCTGCTCACTATTTTGTTGACCTTATCTGGTACCATGTTCCAGCCAAGGAATCTGGAGACAGGCATTCCGCCACAGTAAAAGGAACTTTGCCCAACTCAAAAAAAAAGTTTCATCCTTAGTCATTGTCCAGCTCTCTGATGCATAGCATGTAATTGTGAAGACTATGGTCTGCATCAGGTGCACCCTAGTCTCCAGACTGATATTGTTGCTCTTTAGTACTCTGGAGGGGTCCCTGATAGCAGATTTTCCCAATACAAGACTAATCATAAACTTGTGTTATGCAGATGACACAACCTTGGTTGAAACACTTTCTGCAGGAGATCAAGGACTATAACCTTCAATGTGGATTATATCTCAACATCAGGAAGACAAAATTTCTTACCACTGAGCCAATAAATAACATGAGAGATGGAGAGAAGATTAAAATTGTCAACTATTTCTTGCTTGGATCCACAGTCAGTGCACTTGTCACCAGCAGTCAAGAAATCGAAAGATGTATTGCATTGGGTAAATCTTCTGTCAAGGACCTCTCTAAAGTGTTAAGGAACAGTGATGTCAATTTAAAGATGAAGGTACAGGGATTGCATAACAATGACATTATTTTTCTTTTACTTTTCAAAGAGAAGAGTGAACTGGGGGGAGAGGTGGGCATGGAGAAAAGTGCAATAATGAATTAATGGAAATCCAAAGTCTGTAAATTTTCATTAAAATTAATAATAATGAATTTTTTTAAAAGAGAAAGGTACATCTGATTCAAGTCATAGCCTTTCAATTACTCGTTATGCATCTGAAAGCTGGACAGTGACTAAAGATGACAGAAGAAAAATCAACGTCTTTGAGTGTTGTTGGAGAACAATACTGAGTACCCTTTGAATTGCCAAAAGAACAAACATTTATGTCTTAGAAAGTGCAGCCATTGTGTTCCTTGAGGCAAGGATGATAAAGCTTTGTCTCACATATTTTAGGCATGTTGTAGGGAGGATCTGGTTCTTGGAAAAAGACATCATGCTTGGAAAGCTGGAGGATCAATTTAAGAGAAGACCTTCAATAAGGTAGATTGTAACAGTGGACTAAAGTATATCAGAGATGATGAGGACGGCACAATATATGGCAAGGTTCAGATTCATTGTTCATAGTATTGTGAGTCATCATCACAACTGCACCTAACAACATAATGGTAAGTGTAAAAGTAGCCCATATGTCTTCAATGGTTACATAGCCAGCTGTTGTTGTTGTTGTTGTTGTTGTTAAATGCCGTCGAGTCACAGGTCACTCATAGCGACCCTGTGAACGAAAGTCCTGGACACCTGTATAACTTTAGTCCTTTCTCCGGGTTCATAGGGTTTCCAGAGGCAAGCTATTATGGAAGTGGATGCCGCTCCTCCTTCCAAGCTTGTTTTAATTAGGGAGCTCCACCCGGCACTGTCCACCATGGGTAACCCTTCTCGCGTTTGACTCCTCAGTGTCACAGTGTTCGGCTTCACAGCAACCACGAGTTACCTCTGTACAGCAAGTGGACATACCAGGGTTACACGACCTATACACATACCCAGCTACTATCCCCAAAATCAGCAAGTCTCAGGATAAGCAAACAATCACTTATAAAGGAAAATAGATGCTTTGACATATGAGGGAGAAACCCTTCTCTTAAAGCCAGTACCCTGAGTTTTTACTCTTAACTGGCTAATCTGTGAGAAAATAAATTTTATTTGTTAAAAGTCTCTCACTGCGTAATGCTGTTATGACAGCACTAAATATCTAAGATGCTTGCCTCCTATCCTTTTTTCTCTAAATAAAGTCTTGATGAGTAAAAGTTTCTCATTTTAATAAATTGCTGATTTTCAAATTTTATAATTTTAAGAAATCCTTTATTTACCACTAGAGAGCTTTCCTTTTGTTTTCTTCCATAAATCTCAGTTCATTTGCCTTTAATACAATGTTTTATGTTCATTTTAAGTCTAGCATCTTCCTGGACTTCCTGTTTTTTATCTGACCCTTCTGGGTTTTTTATTCCTCATCTTTATGCCATCTTTAGAAATAACCAGAGAGAGAGATTTCAATTATATTCTTTTGATTTCTTAACAATGCTCTTCTAAAGGATACTGGGTTTTAAGTGGTTGTTCTAGAGATAGCAGTATGCCTTAGTTACACAACTTTTCGGAAAATTTTTATAGTCACTGTTGAATCTGTTAGTAAGTCCATAAGTGTCACAAATCATTTACACTACACTCTTAACTAAGTTTCTCCTTGGAGGCTAGGATTTTGAAGCTCCATTTCACATAATTTGAGCATGTAGCCTGGAGGGACCGATCTTTGGAGAAGGACATCATCCTCAGAAGGATGAAGGGACAACACAGGAGAGGAAGACCCTGGATGAGGTGAATTCATCCTATATCTGGGGCAAAGGGAGTTGCTGTGTCAGAATTAGTGAGACTGGCTCAGGACAGGGTAGGCTTCAGAGGTGTTGTACATAGGGTCACAGTGAGTCACAGGTGACTGGACAGCACATTACAACAACTTATTCTATAGGTCAGAATTTTTAGTCTTTTTAAAAAAATTTATTATTAATTTCAATGAAAACTTACAGAGACTTTGGATTTCCATCCATTCATTCATTGTTGCGCTTTTCTCCCCTCCTAACCCTCCCCCCAGTACACTACCATCTTGGAAAAGTAAAACAAAAATTCTTTCATTGTTTTACGATCCCTCCCCCCAGGTCCACTCCACTATTCAGCCTTTGCTCTGGACTCCCGTCCTGACAAAAATACCTAATCACATATACCTTTTAAACAGTTTTTTTCCTTATTTGTTTCAATGCAGTATACATTATTTATCCCATCTTTCTCAGTCTTCCCTGCCCCAACCCCAGTGTCAGTCCTGTTTTATAACAGTGGCACCATGCAGTAATTGTCCTTTTGTGACTGAGATACTTCACTCATCATAATGTCCTCCAGAGTCACCCATTTTGAATAATATTGCATAAGTTCCTTGTTTGTCAATTCAGTGTAGTATTCCATTGTGTGAATAGATACCACAGCTTCTCTATCCATTTGTTTGTTGATGGGCACTTAGGTTGTTTCCAACTCTTTGCTGTTGTGAACAAAGCCGCGATAAACATGGGTGTGCATATATCTGCTTGGATGTCAGTTATGGTCTCTTTGGGATATATTCCCAGTAGTGGAATTGCTGGATCAAATGGTATCCCTGTTTGCAACTTTTTGAGAAAGCGCTATACCGCCTTCCACGGTGGTTGCACCATTTTACACTCCCACCAACAGTGAATAAGGGTTCCAGTTTCTCCACAACCTCGCCAGCATTTGTTGCTTGCTGTTCTGTTAAATTTTGCTTTTCTGACTGGAATGAGATAATATCTCACAGTTGTTTTGATTTGCATCTCTCTTAGAGCTGGGGATTTTGAGCATTTCTTCATGTGCTTGTTAGCCTTCTGAATGTCTTCTTTGGTGAAGTGTCTGTTCATATCCTGTGCCCGTTTTTCTATTGGATTATTTACCTTTATCTTGTTGTGGTAGAATTTTTAATTTTCTCATTAGCATACTGAAGAAAGGCCTCTCAGTCTGCATCTGTGAAGTTTACAACTCTGTAGCATATGGATAGCAATAACTGGAATCAATGTGATAACAGTTTTGGTGATACAGAATGACTAATGATAGCGTCTTTTTCTATGCTTAACGGCCATTGTTTTTTTCTTTAACATCTTTATTATAGTTGTTTGATTTTTTAAATTCATTATTGCACATTTTCTTACCCTCCTCCCAGCCTACCCTGCAATGCACTCCTTGTTCCAGATTGTTTGTTGTCATACATTTAATGCATAATCACATATTCCTTTCAGACAGTTCTTCCCCTCATCTATTCTATTGGAGTGTTCATTACCTGTCCCCAATCTGCCCAATTACTCTTTCCCCAATCTGTCCCCAACCCCCATCTGTCTTATTTTTAACAATGATATTATGCAGTATTTGTCCGTTATGCAGTATTTATCCTTTTGTGACTGAGATATTTTGCTCAACATAATGTCCTTAAGGCTCCCCACCCAGTATGTTCTTCAGTGCTGTGTAATATTCTATTGTATGAATGAACCATGATTTTTTCTATCCATTCATTTGTTGTTGGGCTTTTGGGTTGCTTCCATCTCTTTGCTATTGTGGATATAATGCAGCAACATTCATCTGTTTGAGTTGTGGCTCTGGTTTCTTTATGGTATATTTCTAGTAGTGGAATTGCTGGGTCAGATGCTACTTCTTTTTTTTTTTAATTTTTTTTATTGTATTATTTTTACGTGTACCGTCAAATCAGATCTGACTGGTACAGGAGGAGGTTCCCCCTCCTTCTCCAGCAGAGCATCTGGTGGATTCGAACCGTGTGCCTCTGGGATTGCAGTGCAACGTTTTGCCACTAGGCCACCAGAGCTCCCTTCAGATGCTACTTCTCTTGCCAGCTTTTTGAGAAAACACCAGCCAGACTACCTCCCCTAGTGGTTGTAGCATTTTACATTCACCATAGCAGTAAATAAAAATCCCAATCTCTCCACAACCTCTCTAACATTTGTTGTTTAATGGTCATTTTTATATCTTCTTGGGAGAGATGTTTGTTCTTTTGCCTATTTTTTAATTAGTTTCTTTGTTGTTTTCCAAGTTCTGTATATATTTTGAATATTAAACTGTTATCTAATGTATTGTTTTGGAAGTTTTTCTTTCATTCCTTGGGCTATCTTTTTTACTTTCTTGGTAATGTCCCCTGGTGCACAAAGGTTTTTCCTTAGTGAAGTCTAATTTATCAATTTCTTCCTTCTCTTAGATGTTGATTGTGCTTTTTCTATTACATCTAAGAATCCATTGCCAAAAGTTTTGTAACTTGACTCTCCCCTATGCTGTTTTCATTATTTCAGTCTTATA